AGACTCTCGAAATACGTGCACGCATGCACGCAAACCGATGACCGAACCTAAGGCAACAAATGCCACTCTACCAAAGCATGGCAAGGCATGGAATATGGTATGCAAACATGAAAATTTCAGCACTGAAATTTGATACAAAACAGCCCCGAAACATGGAAACATGGCACCCGATGCATGGAATGAACCCCGAAACTCGAAACTAGGCACATGGAATGACTTACAGCTATACAAAGCCTGCATTATTTGATCATAAAGCATGAAGACAGATGCAAGAAAGTCTCAAAACATGCATATTTCCAGTTTATAACAAGTCTCAAAAATGAATACAAATAGGGCAAATCTGTCATGCAAAAATGGCCCCTAAAAGAGAGATTAAACACAAAGGGACAGAAGCTGGACCCAAATGGCAAAGAGCCCTTCAACAAAGTTGAATAGAGACTCAAAACAAGGCACTTTACAGTTTACACCAAGCCACGAAAATAATCACAAATAAGGCCAAACTATCATGCAAGAAAGGCCTAAAAGAGGGGTAAAGAGACAAGTGGTAGCTTATGTTCTCAAACATAGGAGAACCCTTCAACAAAGTTGAAGAGGGGCTCAAAAAAAAATATTTCACAGTTTATGGAAAAGTCCAAAACATCTCAAAAATAAGCCTAAAATACTATGCAAAAATTGGCCTAAAAGAGAGATAAAGAGGCAAGTGATAGTAGGAGACCTCAAAAAGAGGAGAGCCCTTCAAAAATGTTGAAGAGGGGCTCAAAAAAAGTTATTTTACAGTTTATGACCAAGTCCAAAACAACTCACAAATAAGCCAAAAATACAATGCAAAAATTGGCCTAAAAGAGAGATAAAGAGGCAAGTGGTAGTAGGAGACTTCAAACAGCCGGAGGTCCTTGATCAAACATGAAAAGGGGGTCAAAATATGACTATTTACAGTTTGGATCGGAGCCCAAAAAAGCTTTCAAGTATGGCTTAGATAGCATGCAAAACAATACAAGAAAGAGAGAAAAAGGGACTCACCCTTGTAGAGCCAAGCTCCAACAACTCTTGGGCCAAGTTTGGGAGCTCTTCACCTCTGGAAAGAATCCTCAAGTTGCTGGAATGGAGTGTAGATTGATAGGCTAGGAGTTGATGTAGAAATGGCCAAGAACCAAGGTATTTTGAAGCTTGGATGAGAGGGATAGAGAGAGATGTGTATACCAAGCTCAAAAATTTTTTTCTAACCCTCCCAAATGTAGCTGGAAGTGCTGGTTTTATAGAGGAGAGGAGTGGAGAAAATGGGGGAAAATGAAATTCAAATTTCCCCTCCAAAAGACCCCCCCTCGGATACAGGATCTGGGGGGAAACAGAGGGTGCAGCTGTAAGGAACTAGGTGAGAGGGTCATGGCTGGTCAGGTTCAGAAGGTTCAGGGGGCCGGCTGACCACCTCCCATGGCCGGCCGGCCAAGGGTCAAAAGGGTCAATGACAATTGTTGGTCGGCCACCTCAAAAAGGTGGCCTCCCATGTGTGCACAACACGACTATGTGGTCAAAACCCAGAAAAAGTGAACCAGAAGAGAGAAAAGACCATTTTTTAGAGGGGTTCAAAAGGGTTAGGCACAATTATTGGTCGGCCACCAAATATTGGTGGCCTCCCAAGTGTGTACAACACAAATATGTGGTTTAGGGTTCAAGAAAGTGGCCCCGGGGTGGTGAACATTGGCTTTCAAGTGAGGAAAACGGGCGTCGGAGAGCGATGAAGAAATAAAGTTGGCTTTTCAGAACAATTGCTGGCCTCCCGCCCTCCTACAAGCTTCCTAACTATGAAAATAAGGTCTCCACCAAAAATGAACCAAAATGGATGCAAAACGGAGGTTCAGGGACCAAAACGCGCAGCCCGGGGCCCCAAAAATGGGCTGTTAAGCACCGAAGGTGGCGTTCGACCACGAAGTTGGTCTTTCGGGCCACAGTATTCCTCAAAATGGAGGAAATAAGATGTATACCAAAAATCGGAGCAAACGGAGGTGGTTAGGTGGTCCCGAGCCGAGGCACACGGCCGTCGGCTCCGAAAGACCGGAAACCGGGCTCCAAACAGGAAAAATGGCCTACGACCACGAAACGTAGCCTACGGCCACTGAGAGATGATCTACGAGACCTCTCCCTTCCTTCAGGAAGAGAAAACAGAGAAAACAGAGGCTGGTTCACAAACCGAGGCAAGGCATGAAAGAGTCCGGAAGTCCGAGGGCAAGGCTTGCAGCCGGGACTCTGAAACTTCTGGACGAGCACAATATGCAATATCACCGAGCGCTCAATCAGTGACGTCTGAGTCTTAAGGTCGGTCAAAAATGGGGTGTCTATAACGTCACAACCCACGTCTCATGTTTTGAGTGTTACACACTTACTAAATTACAAAAATATTAGTGTGTTTTTTCGATCAGCGTGACATACAAACACCCATTCACCTTATCTCATACAAACCCACACCAAATGTTAATCAATAATACTAGTAGTGGCAAAACTGTCAACAAACAAATTAAGGGACCACCCAGTCACCAAGAAAACATTTAGGACCTTTTAGATTACAAGTCCACAAAATGGATTCCCAGCTTTCTCATAAGATTGCTAATTCCCTCCTTAAAAATATTAATAATCCCGTCACTTTTTTTTTTTTTTGTTCTACCCAAGTATGGAAAAATTATCACATATGTGCGTACCGAATGTCGTACTAGATGATTGTGGACTGGAGCTTCGCACCCGATTGGACTATCCAAGAATTGAGACCTTGCAACAGTGAGCACCGTTAGAACTGCTCGGCCGGAGTTGGCAAGATAACCCCTTCGGTGTGAGAATAAGTGATCGAAGAAGATGAAATATGCACTCTAAATGTAGAGAGTTGTGTTTAAGTGAGTATGGTTCAGCTCCACTTAGTTACCTCCAATGTAAAGTGAGTGTTGTTTATACAAGACTCCTTACTTGTTGCCCAAGATAGTTTCATGAAGCTTCGATGCTGCCAAGCTTCCTTTAACGTTGCTCCTAGGTAGGGGACCATCTGGTAGTTAACATTGAGTGCATATATTCATTGTAGCCACGCTGATAACAGACCACATTCCCTTGATCAACCGTTTCCGTGATTCTAGGTGAAAGGGACCAGTTGAGGTGGCGGCCTACACATGCATGCATTCACAGCTTTCACGTTTCTCTGAGTGGTTCCCTCGGCTCGATACCGTTGTGTCTCGGCTCGGCCCTTTGCGACACTGCTTATAGAGATAGGCTGGCTCATTTAGATATCTTTGTGTGGGCTTGGCCCACTTTGATTTTTGGCAATGGGTTCGGCCCATCAGTTCAGTCCGAAGATTGAGTCCTACAGCTCGGCCCAGCCTAGCGTCACGGCTGGACTAACCTTTCCATTGCGAGTTTGGCCCAAGTGCTTGAGGCCTTGGGTGGACTGTTGATCATAGGGTTAGGCTTAATTGGCTTGCCCACATGTTCATCTAACCCACTTGGATTTGGGCTTAAAAGTTTGGACCGGCCCAAGGCTTGGATTCGACCTGTTTCGCATTCAGCCCTTCAATATATGTCCGTCTCATATCTTACGTTGTATGTCCTTACAATTCTGTTAGTTATATACCTACTATTATTATTTTTTTTCTATGTATTACATAAAACAACTAATAAAATAGAAAGACACACAACTTAATTAGAATTTCTAAAAAACAGAATAATTCCTCCTACGCATGAGACCGATAAAACAAACATTGCCTGAAAGAGTTGTTATCTCTAACTTGCACCTCCTTTGACAATTGACTTAAAGCTATTTTTTTTGCTTAGGGTGGGGGGTTACCATTTAGACACAGCTCAATGGACACTATTCATTTACTGTATTGGCTTCCGCCAGGCCCTGTACTCTGTTATTATTCTACTGTTCTGCAGGCCTTCGGTAATCTCGGATTACTGGCCGGTTACGGTGCTAAACCCATAGGGCCGGGTTTGGGTCGTGACAATTACCATTTAGTAGTAATTTTAAAAAATTATTATAAATTTACAAAAAAAATTATAATATCCATTATTAGTATTAATAATGTTTATCATTGTCAAGTTATTTAGCACGCCCATACATTTTTAGTTTTACTAATAACCTTTTTCAGGTGACATTATTTGACAATCTTCCTAAGTATTTAGCTTTCTATGCAAAATGACAAGTATCCCTTTATAAGAATGCATTATAAAATTTCCTCCAACAAAAATTGTTAAAATTTTAAGATTGTATATAATTTGTATGAAATAGAAATTATATTTAGGTCAACTTATACATTAATCCAACACGTGTATTATATCTGCTTCTTTTTTTCTTCTTATACTACATAAACTAAAATTTAAAGCAATTCTTCTAATTGGTAAGGGCAAAATGTGAATAATGGAAAATTACAATGCCCAATGATTGGAGAAAAATCTAAAAAAATAAACTTCGGGCTTTTTGATGAAAAATTAGAACTACCGAATTGTCTTATTAAATTTTCCTACTAGTAAAAACTTAAAAGTTATCATTAAGTCAACAGTGAAGGGAGCGCTTAGATAAATCCAAACATTATCATTTTAAGCTACATTTTCATAATGACATGAACACTTTTTTGGTACATCTTAGGAAAGGTGATTATGATTTTTTTTTTTTTTTTTTTTTTGGGGTTGGGTGAACTTATGAGAACTTATATCATAGTATTGTGTAGTTTTTACTTATAATGTATGAAAAAATAACTTCAATAAAAAAATTTAAAATGATAATAATTATTAAAAAGTTAGAGGAGGATGTCTTTGTATTATTAGGTGTTTAAATCATTGCTTTTGACTTGTATTAATAATGGAAAAGATTATAGACACATTATATTATATTCTATCACATATTCTATCACTTTTTCACAATAAGTGTGGTTCATATCTTGATGATACGTGGATCTCATTCCCATTATGAGTAAGTGATCAAATATGCAATAAAATTAACAATCCCGCTACAGACCCCCAGTGACATGGTGATGAGGTGGCAGCTGATGTGTAAACACAACTGGAAAAAAAAATTGGAAAAAGTGGGAATTTCTGTCTTCCCTCGTCTGTCCTCAACTCTCGCCACCACCCTCGTCTATCCTCGTCTGTCTTCCCTCGCCTATCCTCACCTCTCATCGCCATCCTCCTCCTCCACCATAGCTCGCCGGGAATTTCTGCAAAAGTGTATTCTGGACAACAGCTATTGTTTTGAGCAATATCAGATTACTCGTTCTCATCTATCCTCAGAATTCCTGTAATTTTGCTCTGTCTGGTTTTGCTCTGTTCTGTATCTGTCCATCAATCTGGTTTATGAGGTAAAAAATCAATTTCATATGCTAATCCAACTTGAGTTCTCTTTCAGTTATATGCTAATTCTGAAATCTGAAATATAATCTGTAAACTCTAATCAATTTGTTATTTTGGACAAGAGTTGTGTTTTTTAGGTAAATTACTGAAATTAATTCTAATTAATTTGTCATTCCTTGTGTGTAAACATATTATGCACACAATTACTTGTAATTGTAAATTCGGTACAAGGAAGGAAATCTGAAATTAATTCTAATCAATTTGTCATTTTGGACCTATGAAATCTGAAATATAATCTGTAAACATAATATGAAATATAATCTGTCATTTTGGACCTATGATTAACTGTGGTTATTTTATGAGTAATTGTTATATAATATGAAATATGAAATTTGGACAGTGTTATATAATCTGTAATGTGAATATGAGCAATTTGTAGACATTTTTGTGAGATAAGTAAACAGTGTAGTTCCATAATCTGTAAACAGTGTAGTTCCATAATCTGTAAACAGTTTATATGAAAGTTGGTGAGAAAAGTAATGTGAGATAAGTAATTTTGTGAGATAAGTAATGTGAGATATGAAATTTGGTTCACAATTATGAATAGTTCCATAATCTGTAAACTGTGTAGTTTCATAATCTGTAAAGAGTTTATATAAAATCTGAAATATGAAGTTTAGTTCCATAATCTGTAAACAGTATTTTTGTTTTGGCATTGTTACGGAAATGATATTTGTTTAATTGTTATTTCAGTACGCAAAGTGGAAAAATGGAGGTTGATTCAAATGTTGGTAAGAATCCTTTAATAAATGAGGGCAAACACGTTGAAGAACCTAAGAAGGGTATGTGTTTTAGCTCAAGGGAAGAGGTGTACACATTTTATGAAAAATATGCTAAGCATGTTGGATTTTCTATAGCTCATAAAGCACAACATTTTGGAGATGATGGGCAATTGCTAAACTTTGCAATTGAATGTTCTCGAGCGGGGCAGAGAAAAAAGACATCAGAAGTCAACCCTCTGAAGCCATGTTTGTCCACAAAAATTGGTTGCACAACAAGTGTGCGAGGTAGTGTACAAAAGGATGAGAGATATAAACTAACCACAATTAACCTTGAGCATAATCATGATTTGATTCCCACCAACTCACGTCATTTTGCAATGAATAAGAAAATTCTTACTCCTGTGAAGAGAAGATTAGAAATTAATGATCAAGCAGGGGTTGGAGTGTCTACGAACTTTCATTCAATGGTTGTTGAAGCGGGGGGATACGAGCCATTGACATTTGACGAGCGAGATGCAAGAAATTACATCGAGAGAGCTAGAAGGTTGAGGCTTGGGAAAGGTGATACCGAATCACTTCAAAGTTATTTTATGATGATGCAAGCACATAGTGAGAGATTCTTTTATGTGATTGATGTTGATAAGGAGTTTCGCATTAGAAACTTGTTTTGGGCTTATGCAAGGAGTCGGGCGACTTATGAAGCATTTGGAGATGTCGTTTCATTTGACACAACTTATTTGACGAACAAATATGACATGCCATTTGCTCCATTTGTCGGAGTTAATCACCATGGACAGTCCATTTTGCTTGGTTGTAGATTGTTGTCTAGTGAAGACACTAACACATTTGTTTGGCTATTCAAGTCATGGTTAAGTTGCATACCAAATCATCCGCCAAAAGCTATTATAACTGATCAGTGTAGAGCTATGCAAAATGCTATAGAAATTGTGTTTCCACAAGCTCGACATCGGTGGTGCTTATGGCATATCATGAAGAAAATTTCGGAGAAGTTGAAAGGATATGCTCAGTATGAAGCCATAAAGTTGGCTATGCAAAATGCAATTTATAACTGTCTGACAAGAGCTAAATTTGAGAGTAAATGGGAAGAGATGCTTGCAACATTCAATCTTTATGATAATGAGTGGTTGGGGGTACTATATGATGAGCAGAATCGATGGGTACCTGTCTATGTTAAAGACATTTTTTGGGCTAGCATGTCAACTACACAACGAAGTGAAAGTATGAATACATTTTTTGATGGATATGTAAATCCAAAAACTACATTGAAGCAACTCGTTGAACAATATGACAATGCCTTGAGAAATAAGGTAGAGAAAGAGAAGAAAACAGACTTCAAGTCTCGACACAAATTGTTTGATTGCCTAACTATATACGGGTTTGAGAAGCAATTTCAGCAAACCTACACCAATGCAAAATTCAAAGAAGTTCAAGGAGAGTTGAAGAGATTAGTTTACTGTCAGGTGGTGATTGTGAAAGATGAGGGATCAATTTCTACATATAATGTCCAAGAAGCGATGGTAGTTTCTGAGAAGATGAAGCATGTGGACTTTGTTGTCTATTTTAATTCAACTGAATATGAAGTTCAATGCATATGTCGGTTGTTTGAGTTTAGAGGCATTATGTGTGCTCACTCACTCGCTGTGCTTGTCAGAAGATGAATAAATGAGGTGTCAAGTAAATACATTTTGCGTCGGTGGAGAAAAGATGTGGATAGAGAATACGCATGCATCAAAACCACACACCGGCTTTGGGAATGATTTCAATGCAAGTACCTATGAGAGAATGAACAAAAAATTGATTGCCATTGTACAACTTGCTGGTAACTCTGAAGGCAAAACTAGAATTGTAGACCTTGGGTTTGATGAAATCAATGAGAGAGTCATGAAAGAAGAATCCGGTGATGGGAGTAATTTACCATGTTCAACAAAAAGTCCGATTCACACCGGTTCTACACAAGGAGGTACTAGTAGGAAGGTGATTAGTCATTTGGTTGCTCGGCGAAGAGGTCGTCCAGTTACGAAATGAAAGGTTGCCAAAGTAGATCAAATTGTTAATCGGTTCAAGGCAACAGCAAAAAAACAAACAAAAGCAAAGGTAAAATATGTATTCAAATGTTTTTTTGACAAAGTCTATTGAAGTATGTAAAAGCAATTCATAAATTTCAATCTGTAATTATTCTTCAAAACATACAGGCCGCTAAGTTGCTCCGATTTGAACCTGAAGCTCAAGCTCAAGCTCAAGCTCAAACACCGTATTATCCTTATATGGTTGGCACAGAAAATAGTATGTATGTACCGGTACGTGTTCCAAAGAGGCCTTCATGTCAACAGGTTTGCTAATACAGGTCAACAGGTTTGCTAAAATTCTAACAGGTCAACAAGTTTGCTAAATTCCTACAGGTCAAACACATGGTGATGAGGTGCAATTATTTGAATTGGTTTTCACTCTTCATTATAACCAATTGTTTATAATTTTTAGGTTTTCATAATTGCTTATAAGCAATTACAAACCTGTTGACCTATATCTATCTTGGTTTTCATAATTGATTATAAGCAATTACTTATAATCAAGAGTGCTTTAAACCTGAAATTGATTAAACAGGTTTTCATTCTTGATTATGTATGTTTAATCAAGAAATTATGCACTGGAGAAATTGAACCAATTCAAAAAGGTAAATGATTAGATTAAACATTTCGTTGGGGAATTTCATCGAACACGTTTAAGGCAATGTAAGACTCCAAATGAAAAGGCCGCAATTCGTAAATGAAAATGCGACAATTCCCAAATGAAAAGAAAATTTATGAAAAGGAATTTCAAATCAAGGTTTTCATCGAACAGGAAATAGATAGATATATATATATATATACGCAGATATACATACAGTTCAAGTGAAGGGAAGAAGAGACAGAGAGATTCGTGAGTGAAGGGAACGAGCTGTCGGTGTCGGAGTGAAGGGAAGGAGTGGTCGCCGGTGTCGGAGTGGGAGTTAGGCGTCGGAGTGGGAGGTCAGTAGCTGTTACCGTTGGAGCGAAGACATATACCTGTTTGAGGGGGGAGGGGGCAAAATTTCAAAATGAAATGTGAACCTGTGTGTTTGGGTCTATTAACAGATACATAGATTTTTCAGTCACGTGACAATCACGTGAGTGCCAGGGGCGGCTCAGTTTCGAGCGACGTAGCACAGTTGTAAAATTAATATCCCTAATCACTCATCAATAATATGCATCAAAGGGTCATGTCCATTGTTTTCTTTATTAAAGTTTACCTTGAAGGTTTTTTAATTGTTACCACTAAGATTATAATCACGTTTTTTTTATATATATATATAACATTTGTTGTTGTCTACTCATAATGGGAGTACCTTCCGCGTAATCACATGATATGGGCTCACTTTTATTGTGAGTAGACAAAAAAAATATATATAAATGTAGTAGGATTCTATTATTACAAGAAGGATCACCTCTCATCCAGATTGGAGGGCGTTATTTAGGTATGTGGGATTTATAAGGGGTTCTATTTTTAATAATTTAAATTATTTATTTTGTCAAGTATTTTTTATTAAAAAAATAGATAACAATTTTATTTTTAAAAATAAATTATACATTTTTTTAATTACAAACGTAATAAATTAAATATATTGCAGTTATCGAATCGATATAATTTTTTTATAAAAAAAATACAAAAAATATTCAATAAAATAAATTGTTCAAATTATTAAAACGAGACTCTTAATTGATCTCCAATCCAAACGGCGCCCTTTGGACCGGAGGGATCCTCCTGATTACAATTGTCTTCCCAGCGAACTTGAAAATGACGTATTGTCTTTGCATTTCCTATGGAATTTTATTCTCTGCAATGCAATAATTCTTGCAATACAATTGTAAGATTTTCTTACAGTGATTTTGACTATCTAATTAACAAAAATACTAGAGATCCCAAATATTCTATTAAAAATTTTTAAACCATCATTACTCATCTAATTAATCATGAATCATCTTTAAACCACTTTTAAACACCCGTTGAACTACCCTTAATTGTCTTCCCAGCGAACTTGAAAATGACGTATTGTCTTTGCATTTCCTATGGAATTTTATTCTCTGCAATGCAATAATTCTTGCAATACAATTGTAAGATTTTCTTACAATGGTTTTGACTATCTAATTAATCATGAATCATCTTTAAACCACTTTTAAACACCCGCTAAACTACCCTTGCAATAATTATTACAAGAGAAATTATTAATTATTGTAGGGCCTTATTAACAAGTGATCTAACCATCAAAAAAGAGAAGGAAAAAAAAAAGACATTAACATGATAAACTTTTCATTAAATTTAATACATTTTTTATTAAAATTATTATTATTTTTTTTTATCGTTTTCACATATTTGGGAGACACTTTTCACCTCAATTTCAATATTAACATTCTCGGATTGTTTTTGTTGTGTTAGTTTTTCTTTTTCCTTTTCCTCTACCATACTTCACTGCAAGAAATGGATCTCATCATGGTTGACAAAGTTATTAAATATCATGACAAGAAGTAAATTAAATTAAGAATAAACTATGAAATACAGGCAGCTAGCAACCAAGAAAAAAAAAGAGGTCAATAAATGTTGAGAGAGAAAGAGTGAGAGTTGAGACAAATGGAGTAAAATATGATTGGAAAAGAAAACAAAGAGACTGTTTGTTTTCATCTCAGAAGTGAAGTTGAGGTAGTGGATACATGGATGTATGGGTTCTTTGACTCCAGACAAACATGGTTATGCCACTACTACTACCTTGATCTCTCTCTCTCTCTCTCTCTCTCTCTCATCAAAAGGTTCACACTTTCATAAGCAACTTTTCATATATTGTCTTCATGTAGTAGGTCCCTCTCATAGGAGACAAGCGAATCCTCCGCATGGTAGGAAAAGGACAATCTCTCTCACTCTATGTACATATATATATTCATTCATTGTATTTATATAAACCACACATATACAAAGACGGGTTGTTTTAATCTAGTCCTGGGGTGCTTTCATGGCATGGATATAATGTTTAACAAAATTTATCAAACCTTAGATATTAGGGATGGGCACATAGACTCTCATTGTGGAGAAAAATGTGGCTTGTATTTTTTTTATTTATTATAATATATCGCAATATAATAAAGTATAATGAATTAGAAATTACAGCATGATCAAATATAACATAAATTATAATTGAAAAATAATTTATAAATAAAAAATTATTCAAAAATTCATTTAGAATAATGTGGACAGTGTAGAATGTTATTACTAAAAATGAAAGGACCATAAGAAGTCACATAATTCTGCATTGAAATTTTATTCAAATTTTTTTTTTATATAATCCTTAGTCATCATATCACATCCAACCCATAATCATTACATTCTTCTCTCACAAAAAAAGTTAAAAAAGCCAAAAAGCCCTTCCCAAACCAAACTTTTTAGCCTAGGCTAAAATAGCCAAAAAAGCCAAAAAGTCAACCCACTTCCCAAACGGAGGCGAAGTCACATAATTCTGTATTGAAATTTTATTCAAAATTTTTTTTTTATATAATCCTTAGTCATCCCAATTTACTTAAACACTTAAATTGTAAAATTGATATTTCAATTAAATATTAGGGAAATAAAACTCACAAATGTAGAGGTAGAGTCTCTTATTGAGTTGCAAGAGTTGTGATCAATTGACAATGGTTTGTCTTCCATATTGTGATGTTGGACAGGTGTTAGGCTTAACTCATAAGTTTAATTGAAGATTAGTTCGTTGAATGTTTGGGATTAATCTAATTTAGATATTCTTTGATTGCTTGTCTTTCCGACCAAAATTAATTAATTAATTAGCTTAATTGGGTACTTAATTGAACATGGGTTGTTCCCGATTGTTAATATTTATTGATTTGATGAGGAAAAAAAAATTATCACATCTCAAACTGAAATATTCTCCTTATGTTGCGTTTGGATTTGATTAAGAGAAAGTGAAATATAATTTTTTGTTGTGAAATATGAAATATGAAATGAAATTACTTATATTCATATTTCTAAGAGTAATCAATCAATTTCCTCCCCCCCCACCCAAATTCGTAACCCAACCAAACAAAAAGAAGTCAACTTCTTCACTTAATGTTATACCTGTTTAATTCTAACAAAGAACTTTTTTGAAGGAAAAAAAAAAAAACTATGAGGATCAAGAATACATGGTGAATGAGGTGCTTTTGTATGTGATGTTTGAATTCAAGTCTCATCAGTATATAATACAACTTCTTCTTTCTTTTTCTCCTGTGTTCATTTCCTTTCTCGTGTCAATCCCTCACATTTGCCTAGATCATGTGACTAGTGGGTATCACTTGATTCTCAAATCAATAATGATAGGTGATTCGAAAAATCATGTCTTGAATAGCTCAAAACACTCAAAACGATGTCGTTTTGAGTGCAAAACGACATCGTTTTGATATATTCGAACCATTCGAACTACAAAAATTCAGGCCACTAAACATTTTCCATCTCAAATTTACTTAAGATAGGCCCTAAAGACTTTCCTTAGGACACGTATCAAAATAAATAAATAATTAATTTTTTTTTTTTTTTTTAGATTAATATTTAGAAATTTTCTATATACAGCCTCCTACAAATATTATTTCATATCTTGATGAGTTTACCA